TTCATCAAACCCCTTGTCGAGATCCGAACAATTTCCCCGTCGACCCCGTCGTGTGTTACATCGTTTGCTTTTCTTTTTTTTCCTAGCAAGCCAGAGCAATGAACAACGAACATGTCTTTTTTTCTTTTTTTCCCTATGTGATAGTGTGGTACGACTTTCTATAGTGTATTCCCTTTCATGTCTCTCTCTTTCTCTCTCTCTTTCATTCTCACTCTGTCATTCTACCACAGCGCGCTCGAACAAACGTGACTCGCATTCGAAATTTGCAATTTCGCAAACGCGACGCGCCTCTCTCCGAGTGCGACACGAATTCGCGCGATCTTTCCTTTTTCTCTCCTGTCTGTATCTCTTCTTCTCTCTCTCTCTCACACACACACACACACACACACACACACACACACACACACACACACTCTCTCTCTCTCTCTTTCTCTCTTCTTTTCACGACGAACCACGCAAATTTTTTTATTCCCTTAGAGATGAGATTTTTTACTTTGTATCTTGATTTTCTTTCGTGTTACTCTCGGTAGAAGCGATCTACTATTTTAAACGACACTGTTCCTACGACATCGATCGATTACTTTGAAAGAAAAGGAGTCCTGATTTTTCCGCTATCTCTTTCTCTCTTATTTCTCTCGCTGTCTCTCACTCTCGCCCGCACTCGCGCATTGCCACATTGTTTGTTATATGAACTTGTCGAACTTGGCGACAAGTTCTGTCTTTTATTTCTGCCTTTCGTCACACTTCTCCGCAACGCGCTCTTTCTCTCTCGCATAACACTTTTGCACTCATAAGGAGAGCTCGTGATGTGCGATTCATCAATTCTTTACATGTTTCGCCAGCATAGAAGAGCTGAATCATATAAAAAGAATCGCATGTTACGAGCTCCCTTCATCAGCACGCAACTGGAGGAGGGCTGATTGTAGGACGCAACGCGCACCTACGAACAATAATGAGACATCGTCCCTGATGTTGCGTTCGTTTGTTCGATACGATCCCCACTTCTGCATCCGTCAATCGGATTATTCCAAAGACTCGTATGTTGCAAAAACACAAAGTTTCTTCTGAGATGTTATTAAAGAATCAAAAAAACGAGATGGAATAATGCTTTTTGCGGACCGACTGGTGGACGTAAAATTGCAAATCGAGTCAATCGAACGGATTCAACGCCACGGATGATTTAAGGGGAGGAAGAGGTAAAGGAAAAAAATTAGGATCAATTGGTCGAAAGACTTAGGGGGATGGATTTCGCGAGAGGGACAATGACGAAGCTCTCGACCTCCCTTCTACCGCGAGGGGGACTAGACATACCGATCTTATCAACAGTACAATTATAATTATACAGCTTAGAAACAAAAGCTTTAAAAGAGGGGGACCATTTTCGATCCCTCTCCCGCTTGCAACCGCTCCGCTCCGCGTCACAATTTCGCCGGAGGGAGGACGCGAGTTATTTTGGAACACCTTGGGAAATCACATTACGCCTAAGAGAGAGAGTCTTTATCCTCTTTTCCCCGCCGTTAAATTCGCCGATAAGGACTACGTTATCCGAAACAATGGATTGGCGGACGCGATCGTTTCCCAACCGGACGCACGGCTCAACGTGACTAGATTAATCGGTAATTGCCGGCTTGATCACGCATCTCGATCTTGACCTCGCGAGAACTGCAGTTCGCTCGATTGATCACGGCACGTCGTTTAACTTTGATAATTTATTGCAATAGGAAATCAAGATAAAATCGCGCGAGAAACTTTAACAATTAAACACACATCCATAAAAACGGGTTTTGCATCTTTAAATTAAGAAAAAAAAATTACAAAAATTATTGAACTATGATTATTAATTAATATATATTTATACATTAAAATTATACATTCTGTATTTCTCTACATTTAAATAAAATAAAAATTAAATCGATTTTACAGAAATATCTTTGATTTTCTTTTCATAATCTAATTGGCTAGTAATCATATTCATTTTCAATCGTATTGCATTTCCGATATTTTATCACTTTGTTGTTTGTGCTTTACGATGAACTTTGAAGCATCGCGATTACGATTCGCTGTGGAGTCTGCTGATGTCACGCATCGCGACGATATGTCATGATCAAGCTAGCGCTTCGCGTTACAATGAGATCGCTAAGAATGGAATCTTATTCACACGATGCTGAGAGTGCATGTTTATTCGATAAGACTTATTTACGAAATTTGCTCAACTCGATAACGATAACAAATGACGTCTGATTTAAAGCATACTAATTAAAGAATTATATTTTTCTTTTTTTTCTTTATAAAAGATTTTATTGATAATCTAATAAACTTTAGTAACTTTACCAACTTTGTTAAACAATTAAACTCTACAGATACAATTTTTGCTTTCAAATCGTTTTAAAATAGCAATCTCGATGGTTGAGCTGTAGATTCGGACAGAGATACAAAAGAATATTTCATCTCGAATCGCTTTTTCGGATCGCTCTCTCTTTCTTTATCTGTTTCTCTCTCTCTCTCTCTTTCTCTTTCTTTCTCTCTCTCTCTCTCTTTCGTGTCGAAAGGCCACGATATACTCATACGTCTCGCACCTCTCAAAATCCCAATTAACAAATTGCTAGATATATCACGATGTCCGATAGCGATAATAGTAATCGATAATAGCTCGCTAAAAATTTCACTTCGCCTAGAACTTATCGTCTAAAATATCTCGCGTCGTCGTTTTTTAAATTCAATCTATAATCGACGACGTCGCAAATTTAACCAAAACTTGCACAGGACCCATCGAATTATACAACTTTTTTCTTGAATTCCGCTCCCATTGTGTCCTCTCCTTCCGTTTCGTCTCCCGCGTTCATCGATCTCTCTATCTCTCAAACGCGCATCTACAAATACATTCCTCTTTCCTATTACGTATTGAAGAAACGAATGCGTGTGTGCGAGAGAATGTAGTGAACGAGAAGAGGAAGCGAAAAGAGAGAGAACGATATGGAGGTGAATTCGAAAAAAAACAAATAAAAAAACAAAAAAAGATATCAGACATTCTTTCCGATATTCCTTCTCGATCGCTTCGCTCCGCACGCGCTCTAATATTTCTTTACGAATAGAATACGATTAAATCTTGTCTAATATTGCATGCGCGTGTGAACACATTTTAAAGGTGAAACAGAAAGACGATATATTTCCTCCCTCGACTCGCGACACAGCGACACAATGAACATGAAACGAAACAACGTCGCCGTGCGCACACAATTGGACATTCTCTCGAAGATTACAATTTATAATTTCATTTTTCTTTCTCGCTTAGGAAGAGAATTTATATAACGATAATTAGAGGACCTCGCCGTCTCGAGACGTTACATGCACGGTTTAGATGCCGAACAGTGTATGTCGAGCGATTTGACGAAATCACGTGGCGAATATTCACGGGTGATAAGAATTTTGTGCGCTTAACTAGAATCCGAAATCCCGGGATCTAAGGGCGCCAACCCAGTTCGGCATTTCCTCGGAAACGAAGCGGAAGCTCGCGAAATTTATTCACGCCAACGAAGTGCACACGAGAGTTGATATCCGGCTCTACGCGCGTGGCATCTTTTGCTCTTTTCTTGCGCATTTTTCGTGCCACGCACAATCCGTAATCACAAAGGGAAATGTATAATTTCATTGCAATTTCTCCCTGCATCGCGGACTCTTAAGAAATATAATAATAATTGGTGACTTCTCATGTGAAATAATCGAATGATTCGCTCTGTTTCGAAACTGAGGTTCGAAATTAACGAGGCGTTTTCGCTTTTCGTCTTTTTTTTTGAATGCATTGTCAGTGTGTTTCAATTTCAAAAATTAAATATATTTCTCGACGATATAAGATATCGACAATATCTTAAAAATAATCCTGATTAGTTCAATACGTATTAAGTTGATGATTCGTTATAGATAAAAGTCATTGATAAATCTATAAATCTGTAAAATTGGAAATCTAATATTGGAAATCTCATATTGCCTTTTACTAGAATAAATTATGCTGAAATCTAAGTGCGTTTTTATTTATTAAACTGCAAAGCGAGATATAAAACGCATCATCGAGCTCGAATCCTCATCCGAACAGAACTCGTCCTATTTTGTCAAAACTGAGGCCTTATCTATTTGAATAATAATAAAGATAGCGTTATGTCGGACACAGTGCAAGCCATTCGGAACTCAAAAGGGACGCACATTCTGATCGATTTATTATTATTTATTTTTACACACGCCGTATACTTTGAACGTGATTTATTTATCTACAAAACAAATGTTTATCGAAAAAAAACAATCATTTAATTCTTCCTCGATGCTTATTAAATATTACGATTGATTATTAATTTATCTTTTTCTCTTACATTTATAATCTAAAAATTAATCTAAAAAGTAGACAAATGCTACTATATATAAAAGGGAAAATTAAATATCTGGAATTTGTGATTTCATTTTCTTATATTATTATGATTGTGTGTGTAAAAGAAAAAGATTTAATAGAAATAGAAATAAGAAATAGAATTAATTCATCACTGATGTTGGAAAAATCAATCACTTTAATCCTTTCTTATAATGCAGTTGCGATGAATTTCATAAATCTTATTTCATTGTAAGAATTTGCGAATTTATTTGTTGCATTCACATCAAATCGAAATAATACAATAACAGACTACATTTTTTATTATTTTTTTTCTCTAAACTATACATTGATACATCGATTTGACACGAATGCAACATTATAAACATGCCATGATAATAAACAATAAATTAATTAATTCCTTTACTAGCATCAACTGGAATTTCAATATTGTCGATTGTAAAATATATAGCATTCGAGGTAGAATATATTCGACAACTTGAAGAATATGCCAGAAAAATATATAATCTGTGGCGTGTGCGCGTCCCGTTACGGTTTCGTACGGCCGGCCATCTCGTGTTTTTAATGGTATGCGTGTTGTAATGTATGTTTGATGTTTTACTTTTAAATCGGTATGTAGCATATCGTTTTTTTTTAGTCGTAATAAGTATATTGATATTGAACTACCTAGCCTAATATGTACAGAGTTTCCGTTTTCACTCTTGGCACTACATTATCCCCTATAACTCCTTACATGCATACACAAACACGCGTGCGCACGGGTCCGCTCTTTCTCTTTCTTTCTTCTTTTTTTTTCTCGACCCTGCAATTAGCCGCGCCTCTTGCGCGTCTTTCGTTCTACTCGTTCCGCACACGCGCGCTTGCATTTACTCGTACGCACGCCTGGTCTCGCACTCACGCAACGAACGATCATACAACAACTCATGTCCCGTCCGTCCATTTTTCTTTTCTCTTCTTTTCTTCTCCACAACCATCATCGCGTGAAACCGCACTCGTCCCGTCCGGCCGTCGCGCAGCAGCCTCCCGTCGCGAATAAAATGTTATATATCGGCAATAAATAATTTACTAAGTCTTTGTCGCGCGCGATGAACAAACCTCCGCGATGTCGAGCCTCCGTCGAGAGCTGGAAGAGGGTGATCCGGCGGATCCGCTTCATTGCCGAGTCCGTACGAGTCGTTAAACTCGCGTCTCCTCGAAGCGAAGCTTCTCGCCGTGTAATTCCTGGACAGGGGAACTTCTTGTCCCAGGGTAGGCCAGGGATTGCTTTACGTCGCGCGTTGATGACGCCCCGTTTTCCATGTTGGCTTTCGACCGCTTCCCTTACTCGTCCTGCGTTTCTTCTTTCGATTCTTTCTCTGATGCTGACGCTCGAAACAATATCGTAATCTTCGTGCCACCGCTTTGGAATAATCTGAGATCTAGGCTAGACACTGGCCGCGTGTGGAATTGCACAATGAGACGCGTCAATGACGATAACAATGGCGGCGCATCGACTCTCACAATGGAAAAGACAAAGAGAACAAAGGCGTAAATCAACGCACGGCGATTGAGCGCAGTCTTGATGACTGATTTAATTCTTCAGTCACTATACCAGAAGCCGGCTTCTCTATATCTCCGCCGGCCTTCCTTTAGGCCACGAACGGACGACCCTCTCTCTCTCTCTCTCTCTCTCTTTCAATCTTTCTTTCTCTCTCTCTTTTTCTCGCTCTCTCTCTCTCTCTCTCTCTCTCTCGCTCTCTCTTTCTCTCTCTATTTCTTTATAGAAGAACGCCGGAAGAACGATCCAACATGGATACCATCGGCCGGGATGATATCATCTTCTCTCGTGTATATGCGATATTCGTTGCTGAACATGATGGAACGACCGATGAGATCTATTCTTTGTTGACGTTTCTTCCGATAATCAGTCTTGAAGGGCATCGTCGTTGTCGTTGCAGTCGCACAAAACGATTTTGGAAACCATTGCTCGTTCTCGGAATCGGACGATGCGACTGCGACAGTGACGACAATGGCATCGAAGAAGGAGGACACCGCGGATCAGACCTTCTGATGGACTTGCTGCTGCTGCTGTTGCTGATGTTGCTGCTGCTGTTCTTGCCGGCTTTCATCGGTCTCGCAGGGCACCACGGTGATGTTGGACAGATTGCTACTGCTCAGATTACTGCTCACATTACTATTGGACTCGGAATAACTGGAAAAGGGCGGTTTGCTGACCGGCACCGACGTCGACGATGGCGTCGTGTGGCTCGGGAACATTTTAAACATCGAGCGAGCGGTACTTAGCAACAAATTGCTGCTACTGGGGCTCTGACTTCGCGATATCCGATCACCCGGCAGATCGAGCAGCCCTGTATGGATGTGCTGGCTGCTACCGGGCGGTGGGGTCCGATAAGGCGGCGGACTTTCGCTGTCGAACACTGTGCGATTCGGAGGCGCCCGTACGCACTTTTGGTAGATCTCGCTCTCCTGAAAGAGAGAGTTTATTAGTACAGAGCACGAAAAATGGCAGACTTTTTAACTTTCGCATGCTTCACATGACGGAAAGCTGCGCATTTCGCTCTTACCTGCTCCGAGTTGCGGAGATGAAGATCCGAGTGCGCTCCGTATGGGTGCTCCTCGCCGTCCGGGAGCTCGAGTCGCGGCGGTAGATTGAGAGCGAGATCCTGCCGGACGCTGTCCGCGCGGATCGCGCGATCTCTCGCCGCGGCGATCATCACCTCCTGTATGTCGCGACGTCTCCTAGTATCGCCACCGCCTCCGCCACCTCTACCGCCCGCTGCACCGGCAGTTGGGTCATCTCCCGCCGATGCACCGCGTCCACTGCTGCCGACCTCCATTCCTTGGCTCACCGACAGCATCTGCAAAGTCAACGATCGATTTTATGCCTATGAAAAATGTGCAAAAGATACCGGTGTCATACACATAACACACATAACACACATAACACACAAACACACACACACACATATATAGGTCTGTTATCTGTTAGTAAAAATATAGTTATAAAAATATTACTATAAATAAATTCCCGTTATTATTAGACTGCGTGAGATCCAAAAGTATTATATATGTACATATTGTAATAGTTTTTATTATAAATCACAGAATGATGAAGAGAAAAATTGATAGAAATTTCAATACGAAATTTCAAACGACATTACCAAAGTATGCATATATTTATAATATATGTGGAATATATTTTGTTTTTTTTTTTTTTTCAAATTATTGTGATTGAAGATTATAATTAATTCCAGTTTTCAAAATTAAAATGATTAAAAAATCCATATTACAAATAATAAAAAGTATAAGACTCGAAGTATAAAATACAAAAAAAAATTCAGTGACAACAGCAATACGAGTCAGGCGTCAATCCTGTGACACAATAATTTATTATGCAGATACATAAGTATGGAAAATATTACAAAGAAGGAAGGCGAACGTTTCAACCCTATTTTTGGGTCATCTTCAACGCAAACGTGATGATATGATGAACATAATAATAAATAACAAAAATAATTAGTATCGGAACCAGTTACAGAAAGAGCCATTTAAAATAATAAATATCTCGGTATCTAATCATCTTGATGATGCTTGTAATAAAATAAATCAAAAAATGTAAAAGAAATTATGTAAAAACTACAAGTTGAACAACAAAGAAAACAAAATGAACAATGGAAACTTGAAAGTTAAGAGGGTAAAAAATTTTTCATGTCAATTCTTCTAAAATCATAAAGATAAGAATATTTTAAATAAATACAAACTTAGAACAGAAAAATCCATATTGAAAAAAATAGAAAAATCCATATTGAAAACATTGTACATATTTATAAAATATTCGTGAAATATTAATCGAAACGTATTATTCCAAATAAATAATCTAAATTATATTTTCTATTATATTGACATTTCATCCAATGCAATCATGTTGTATTGCATCTTGTATTTGTAATTAATTATTTTGTCGCTAATATTTAAGAGTTAAAAATAAACGAAAAAGATAATTGTTTTCTTCTTTCAAAATTTTATTTGATTTTGGCTTAGCTTAGATATTTGCGTTTAAAAATATAACAATCTTGTTCCTTTGCCTAATAAGACATGTACATAGGGTGATTGCTATTGTTACTCGATGCATCGTAAATACCTTTGACGATGTACAACAGTGAATAAATTAGTGCAGAAAATGAAATTGTTCAACCATTCGATCAGGAAAACGTCCATTACACGTGGATAGAGATTAGTATCGTATCGTTGCACTCCGTTCCCATAAACTTGCATATAAATCATACTATTATACCCACCGGAGGGATTAATTTCTCTGTAACATCGTCTATTCGTATAATCCAATACTCGAATTTGATTCGTGATCGCTTCTATCGTATAAAATTGCATTACACATTACTTTAAACAAAAATTATATGTATATACTTGTGATAACTCTATATGCGCTTTTAAATACACATAAGTATTATTTTAACAAAAATAAATTATTTGTTGAAATATTTTGAATATAATTAAAGGTACCAGAAAAATATAATCATTGGACGTTCTTAATGTAAATACTTGTAAATTTAAGAATTTCATGCGACATCTCTCATTAACTAGATTGCTTTCAACAATATTATTTAATTAATTAAAATTAATCAAGGATTATCTCTCTACATTTCTCTTTCACATTCTATACGTAATTTTATATATTTCACAATGTAATTTTAGATTCTGTATCATTCTTGGAATCGAATCTGGCTTTCTGTTAAACTTTAATTAACCGAACTCATTCGGATCGTTTTTCTTCGCCTCTAGCGAAAATTTCTTCGTTCCTTCAAACACCGAAATGGATCCGGTTTAAAACATCTGTTCACGCACGCACGCGTACGACACGTTCATAAGAGGCGGATCAAGAAACGTCACGTCGTGACAGTTGGAATGGCGAGGTTCACAGTACGCACCTCGAGAAGTAGTAAGACGGAGAGAAGGTCGTACGAGCTTCAAGTGCCGACAAGCGGCGAAAGAACGGGGTCGCAAGCATGTACTCACGATCCGCGCGTTTTCGTTCTCGTTCGATGTATCTCCGATGATTTCGCATGTCTGTCTAATCGATCGTGTTCGATGAAAAGATTCGCCGCATGAGAAAAAACATCCCAATTACGATATTCATATAATTTCAAATTCGTATTTTATATTTTTGATACATTTATATTTTTTTTTTTAAGCATTTTCCTACTTTTTGAAAATGCAAACATGCTACATGTTGATTAAAAAAATTTGTCAGATATTCTTAATATAATTCTTATCCATACCAATTATCAATACAATAATATATAAAAATATCGGTAAAAATAATACGTTCAATTATTGATATCGAAACAATATTCACAAGTATAAAAATATGCATTATATAATTCATATTTTATCAATATATTATATATTTGTAATGATAAAGATAAAAAATTTTAAGAAAAAAGTTTATTGTATTATCTTTGTATACAAAATCTCTCTCGCTATATCTCTCTCTCTGGACCGAAGTATATTTACTTGTACAATTTGATTTTACGAGCATTTGATCGCGATTTAACGGGCGGGAGAGAAAAAACGAAGGAGTCGTTCTCTCTCTCGCGAGCATTCGCCGACACGTGCACGCGTTAACGACCGACGCGACGGTTCGGTCGGTCGCGTTAAAGCTTTAAAGGGGTTTTCAGCACCCCTCCGCTCGCGTTCTCGCGCTCGTCCGAGGCCGTCGAAAGGGAAAGCGGAAGAGGGACGCGGCGGCTGCGACGACAACAGAGCGAGGGTGTGCGGCGGAGACGGCAACGACAAGAGCGACTGACACACAGAGGGATGAATGTCCCATCCGCGCCGCTCATGTACCACTCGTATCGATCGATTCGCGATGCAACGTTACCCGCTCGTGTAACGCAGACGTGTGTCGCGAGAAAATCCTTTGACCAGATGTCTCGGATATTTTCTCAGAGTCGTGTATCGAACGCGCGAATCTTTTACATTCTGATAACTAGTTTAATTCAAATTACTCGTCTCGATTAATTAATATAATAAATAAAATCTCGATAAATTAATTTTCTCAAAAAAGAAAAGTTAAATTCTTAAACAATGGAAATAAAAATGGAATATAAAAGAAAATGTGATCCGATGTATACTTATTTCGATAGAGATTTAAAAAAATGAGAACATATAAATTCTTGATAATGATCTTATAAGAAAAGCGCATATACAGTCTAAAGGGAAAATTGTTAAACGTACGAAACAAGAACCAATGTCATTCTTCGAGGTAAAAGGATTTATAATATGTACCGAATGTAGGAATGGGGACTGTTTAGTAGTGTACGTACATATTTCCTCCATTTCGCATTTTATACAAAGATGAATATGGTTTAAAAATGGATTGTTAGAATTATGTCGCGTGTATAGCGTTATGACATAATATATGTCATCCGAATCTCAACCGAATATAGTTCATTAACGCTCAGAATATTGATTTCGATTGCATCTAATCCACTTAATAATTCAAATCTATGATGGATATAATCGTAAAAGTGAAGAATTCCTCCTCATTCCCCTTTTTGCGAAATAAAGCAGATATTTCACCGATAAAGTTTAAAAGTAATCCCAAAAGTATCTGAATGTTCTTAATTCGAAAAAGTTGAAAATTGCTTTTATTTCTTCGTTTATTCTTAGATGGCTCACTTTTACATTTCACGATTTCATATTTGCATAACAACTAAATGTAAAACTCGGCAATAAATAAACGAAAAATGGTAATGATAAGTAATTGGCTTTTATTTAATGACTAGTAAATAATACATATACAGGGTGTATTTTAAAAAGCTCCTACTAAGCAAATAGCGTTATTCTTGATTAAAAACCGAGTCGAAAAGTCCTGAACCATTTTTTTTCCAAGATTCATTAAATAATTAATCAGATTTAAATATCAAAAAGATTTCTGCAAAGATGAATTGTTTAAAAATTAACACAAAACAGTTTATTTTTTTGCTTATCCAAATCTTCATATGTTGATAACGAAAAAGTTTGTCTTTTTATTGGCGCGACTTTACTCATTAATTACTGCTTTATTAAGCATTATGGAAAAAAATTGTTCAGGAATTTTCGACTCGGTTTTTAATCAGGAATAACGCTATTTGCTGGGAGCTTTTTAACATACACCCTATATATGTCTATAGACTGTGACTAATTTAAAAGAAAAAAAATACTTGCTTTCGAAAAGAAATTAAATTTGTGAAGATTTCGGAAATCGGGAAACAATCCGGGCCATGTGAGAATAAAGATAAAAGAAAGAGATACATATATAGTATATGAGAGTGTGAGGATCGATCGATGGGAGACAAAGTTAGCCGGTGCTCGAGAAATGTAGTGTTATACAATCGACTTTACGGTCTCCCGAAAACCGCGCTGGCACCCCGGTGGACCATAAAACCATAGTCGCAGCTCGCGGTTGCAGCTCGCTTGAAACGTTATACCATCGTACCGTCGCTCGACTCGATTGAAATTGCAGTTTCAGAAAAGGGTAAACTTGGTCGGATCGATCGTTCTCGCTCGCGAGTATTGTATGCTTCGAGGAACTCGCTTCCCTGCTCCCCCTTCCTCAAGCTACCGCTTCCCTAGGGGAGTATGAACGTCAAAGTCGTCGGCGACAATGAAGCGATACTTCGAGCAAGAGCTTCGTCGACGTACGTAACTTTGGAATACAAAGTTCAATTCTCGACGTTGAAGTTACGAACCTCTGTATCGTCGAGTTTATTCTCGTTTGCATAGGAATATTATAAAATCGCGGATATCGCAAAAAATTGATATTGATTGGCTGGTAATGATAACGAATTGGACTTTA